AGACCCAGAATACTGAGGACAGCCCCATTCCTCTAGACTGAGCCCTGAGATGTGTAAGAGTAAGCGAAGGTAGTTGAGTATGAGTAGCAGCAGGCAGATGGTCTTTCTGCTTTTGATATAAATATGATGTGACCAGCTGTCTCAAGCACCTTCCCTACAATAATGCACTGTAATCTGGAGTTATAAGCCAAATAAACCCTTTTCTCCTCTAGGTAGCTTTGTATCAGGATATTTTATCACAGCAACAGAAATAAAACCACAACAGCTAATTACAGTCTCACAGGAAAAGGTCAAGATAGCCACTGGACATTGGAAAAAATCTAGAAATGTTGTTGTGTTTCCTTGCAAAAACATTCAGGGTCTACTACATGTTGAGTCATACTTTAAATTAGGAAGCAAGATGTCTCAGAGTGGATCTTACTTCGAACCTTATTTCACAACTAGTTTTGTAATGGCTCCATTTACTGTAATTGCATAAACTGTTCAGCCATCACACGAATTAAGAATGGCTTAATCTGGTCCTCTGGAGATGGATCAGTGGTTAAAGTGCTTGTCTCTACAAGCATGAGGACCTGATTTTGAGCCCCCCAATCCCATGTAAAAGCTGAGTGTGGTGACATATACTTGCAATCCCAGCACTGGAGAGATGAGAGCTGGAGATGGGGCTGCTAGGTCAGCCATCCTAGCTTCCTTGGTGAATTCCAGGACATCAAGAGATCCTCTCTCAGACTAAAATGTGTGACACAGCTGAGGAATGACTCCCATAGTTGTTCTCTGATCTCCATACACATGTGCACATGAGTACCACACACACACAAACACACTCACAGTGGCTTAACATCAGGACTTTATATTGAAGCATGGTCATGCCATTAAACACGCAGAATTCATTGCTTGTTCTTATCCTGACTCAGCCATTCATACTATCTGCTGGGCCTTTTAGGTGCCTGATGTTGAGACTGCTTGTTAGTTTGGGGTGTGAGCAGCCTTTCCAAGCTCTCTATACAAGCTTTGAAAACATCAGCAGAGAAGGGCCCATCACTGAAAGCCCCTAAGGAGTGGCATTACTAGAAGAGATTGGTGCCCCTGACCCAAGGAACAAGTGACACATCTGAGCTATTGAAAGCCCAAATTTTATGTGGTGTCTCACTTTACATATGGAGAAACCAGAAACTATTTTTGAATAATTCAGTTTCTCCCCCTGCTCCCAGTGTATGTATGTGTAGGCCAAAGGTCAACTTCAGCTTTATTCTTCATATACATCTTGTTTTGTTGATGCAGGATGTCTCACTGGCTAGGCTGGCTTCCAGGAATCTGCCTGTCTCCACTTTCACACTCCTGGGGTCACAGACACTTGCCACCATGCCTATCCTTTTTATGTAGTTGCTAGAGATCACACTTGGGTCCTGATGGTTGCATGGCAAGCATTTTTCTAACAGCCATATCCCTGTCACTGTTTCCATTTTCTATCTGAAGAAACACACATTTGTTTTGAGCAAAGTACACCTGTGAAGGTCTTGAGATTTAAGGAAACCAAGAGGAGAGAGATGGTCCAGCCTTTGCCACTAGCGGCACAGCTAGGGTCTGGCATGTGAACAGTGTAGAGTCATTTCCCTCCAACAGCTTTTCCAGGTAACTGTTCTCAGTCTTGGTTTCAGTACTCTGTAATGCACAGGGTCTGAACAGTTGCTCTCCTACCAACTAAGATACTAATATATCACCTAGCCCTTTATGACAGCTGGCTTCCATCCTGAGCACAGTACAAGGAGACAGACAGCTGCCAGCCTCCGGCCAGACAGCTCAGAAACAGTCCAGGAGGGTTGTTTTCTGTCTCAGTTCCCTCATATTGTCTTTATGTATGTGTACATGGGCACTCACATATATTCCATTAAGTTTGGAGGTAACAGAACTAGGACATCAATGACTGTGATGTTCAGTCATGATCATCAGCTTGAATCACCTAGGATGCAAACCTCAGCAAGTCTGAAGGAGTTTTTTATATACATTTCATTGAAGAGGAGGTTTCTAATCTAAATGTGGACATCACTATTTCATGGGCTGGGATACTGGACTGAATAAGATGGAGAAAGGGAACTGAGTGGCAGCATTCATCTCTTTCTCTCTCTCTCTCTCTGCTTCCTGGCTGTGCATGAAGTATGACCAGCTGCCTCACACACCTGTCTGTCACCATGCCTTCCCCACAATGATGGACTGTGAATCCTTAAACTGTGAGCCAGAATAAACTCTAACTCCCCTAAGTTGCTTCTTGCTGGGTATATTTTCCAGCAATTTAAGTGACTAACACAGTAAATGCCCACAGGTTCTGTGAGCATTATATAAACACTGAAGACCACACAAGCAGTTCTTTCTTATCTACAAACACTCAGAGCTGAGCTCAGTTGCTGTCAATGACCATGAGACTGATATCACATTCCTATATCTCTCCTTCTCTTTACCATGTGCTGGGCTGGACAAACCAATGGTTATTAATCAAACTGTCCCCAGGTTCCATGTCTGTGTTCCCACTAATTAACCTTGACTGTTCCTTGAATGATAGAAGTGTCCATTGAAATTCAGGTGTTTTTATAAAAAGCACTCTTGTAGAGGCTGGAGAGATGGCTCAGTGGATAAAGGCACTCGCTGCCAAGTCTGATGATCCAAGTTCAATTCTTAGGGCCCACTTGGTGGAGGGAGAAATTTAACTACCATGAATTTTTTCTCTGTCCCATACACATACACTGTACATACACCCCTCAAAAAATCAATGAAGTAAAAAACTCAGCAGAAAGTATCTTCATTTCTGTTATCTTATCCACCTAAATAACTGCCTTGTTTTGCACTGGTGCTACTGGGCTGTTTCAATGGTATGGCCTCAGACCCCCCCTTTCTCCTTATAAACCTACACCTCTCTGCATTTCCTTTCACCTCCTGTAAGTCAGAGTGCTTGTGTTTTCTCAGCCAGTGGGCACTATTAATATTTATCTACCCCACAGTCAGCTTTTATTAATTGCTTAATTAGTAGTAGTGAAAACAATTAGTGTTGGGAGCAGAGAGTGTTGTATGCATGCTGACAACAGAAATTAGCATAAGTGATAAGCAGAGGTTGACTGCTTTAAAAAATGGTGGAGTGCCCGTGTACAGAATACACAGTTCTGCTTATGGCCTTTGCATCGTCTTCCTACGTTCCTCATTCCAAGCATGCATCTGGGGACATGGATCAGCTAAAAACAGTCTATGCATGGTCTTCACACATTTAACTAGAAAAGATGAAAAGAGAATGAAGTGTGCAGGGAGCTGCATTCTGGAAGATTTCATTGACCCTCCCCCCCCTGCACACACATACAGAACCAATGCTGCAGAATATGGTGGTGCATGCTCACACTCAGCCTCAGCAGCCCTGTAGCTCCAGTGGCCAAGGCAGGTCGATACAGGACAGGCTTCCAACAGCAATCACGTCGGCCAGGTATTTCCAATCTGTGTGAGCTTCATGTGTTCTAAGATAGTTTTTAACACTGACAAACTCATATCACAACATCAGAAGGTTAGTGCTGGATAGATGGCAAAGTGCTTGCCTCTCAAATATGTGCAGATATGTTCCTGTGCCCAGAACCCATGTAAAGCTCAACATGGTAGTACATGCATCTGTAATCCCCCCAGCACTTCTATGAAGAGATGGAAGGCAGAGAAGAGAATTCCCAGAAGCTTCAAGGCCAGTTAGGGTCAGCAGCAAGCAATGAAATCCTGTCTTAAAGACTGTAGGAAGTGAGGACCAACAACCCAGGTTGTCATCTGACTTCCATGCACACATACTCATTACATACATACAGCACATCTCACCTCCATACACATGATGTGGTGTGTGTGTGTGTGTGTGTTGCAAGCTCATGTACACACACATACACACACACTGCACACACACACACATACACACACACACACACACACACACACACACACACACACACACAAAGATATGGTGAGGTGAGATGGCTCAGTGGTTAAAAGTATTTGCTTCCTAAGCAAGAGGATGTGGGTTTAATCCTTAAGGCTATATAAACCCTTAGGCATAGCTGTAACCCCAGAGCTGTGAGGGCCAGAAATAGGAACATTACTGGGGCTGCTAATGGACACTGTGGCTCCTAGTTCAGTGAGATACTTTATCTCAAAGGAGTAAGGTTAATAGTTATACAGCAGGACACCCTTTGTCTTGTTTGGTCCTCCACATGCATACATAATCACTCATCGACACACACACACACACACACTCACACACACACACACACACACACACACACACACACACACAATCAAAGTGGATGGCACCTAAGAAACAGCACCCAAGGTTGTCATTCCTTTATACATGTGACCACACATGTGGTTGTGTACCTTCATACATATATACTCTTGCATACACATGAAAGCACATGCACATAAACACACACACACACACACACACACACACAAACACCTTCATTCAAAGTTACCCCTTCCCACTAAATGCATCAACAACTACGTGAGTCACAATGCTGAGAATGTCAACTCATTTCCCTAAATGACACCAGAAGGTTCCATCTAAAGTGCTCGTTCCTTTAGTGCATCAATTCTTCATTTGTTGTAAAAATATTGTTGTCTTTGTGGTTTGTACTTTATGATTGCTTTTATGAAGACAGTGAAAAGGCATAATATATAGGTAGAAACGTAAATTGACTTTATATTACTAAGATTTACTGCCTCCAAAAATAGCGACTGCATTAATGCATTTCTGATTTCAAGGTGCTTTCTTTATTTTTGTACAATCTGTCTTCCCTGAACCTAACAATTCCATCAGACAATGGTCTGTGGAAGAAACTGTTTTTCTTGACTCATTTTACTGGGTACCTTGAAGAATAGAATAGTATTTTTTCCTAATGTGTCTGAAGTATCATATAAAATATGACTATAATATGCAAAGACGTCTTTCAGTCAGACTTTCTTTTCCCTCTTCCATGTGTTTGCTGTAGGATCTGAGGGAGGAATGTGTAAAGTTGAAAACCAGAGTGTTTGACTTGGAACAACAGAACCGTGCACTCAGTCTCCTGTTCCAACAGCGAGTCAGACCTGCTTCTGATGTGCTCCTTCGGGTATGTGTTTATGTGCAAAATGGCCTTTGCCGCAGAAATGCTCTTGACAGGAAGTTGCTTGCATTCGAAGCTTGCCAGCCTCCCCAGGGGTAAGGCATATTGCACCAAAATCCCAATGCCTGGATATCTCAGGAGGTGTCATTAAAAGTGAGTGTCTCTCAAATTCTCAACTTCTGAAAGTTACATTCTTAAAAAGAACATCTCCACTGAAGAGTAACAGACAAAAGGAAGATCACACACCTGGCCTGGAGAGATGCCACAGACTCAGTTAAGCCCTTGCATTGCAAGCATAGGGGCCTGAGTTTAATCCCTAGAATCTACATTTAAAAAGTCAGGTGTGGTGGCTTGTGCTTTGAATTCCAGTGCTGGAGAGGCGGAGATAACTGGATCTTTGCCAAGTCAGTGGAACCAAATTGTCAAGTGTCAGATAAAAATGCAAGACTCTGTCTCTAAAAATGAAGAGGACAGTGTCCTAAGGAAGGAAACCTCAGGCTGGCCTCTATGACCAATGCACATGTACACACACTTGAACACACACACACTTGAATACACCCACTTGAACACACACACACACACACACACACACACACACACACACATACATATGTATGCACTCACACAGAGGGCACAGAATGTATTCTACAAGAAGCTAAGTGGAACCATGGCACAGAGTTGAGAAATAATGGGTTTGGGGAGCATCTTTAGTCCTATGCATTCTGTGAGAAGCACAGAAGTTTTATGAAATGCTGAAGTGCACACATCTTGACTTCAAGCTCACTATTACCCAAATTGCAGCTGGGAGTTTTGTAACCTCATGCTGTTCGTGCAGCATTGCTCCTCTCACCATGCTTCCTGGATTGTGCCTCAGCATCTCCACAAGTCTGCTGTCTGAGAGCTCTCACTGTGCTCTGCTCTTAGGTACCTTCTCAGCTCCCAAAGTTCTGCAAAGTCAGGCCATCTGTTTCATTTTTAAGTCAACAGTGACAGAACACGAGAGAATTGGAACATGGCAGGGAACACAGGAGTTGGCTCAAGGGGCTGAAGAGTTGACCTTTTGCTCTTTCCCACCCTACTGCCTCTGTTAACACACACATTTTCCCAGGCTGGTTCCCATAAGCTCTGCTCAGAGCTTTTCAGGCATATTCCGTCAAAGACCAGGGTGTGGTTTTACAGGGACATCTACAGTTTGTGAAAGTTGACTCACAAGTTGCTCGGTCTGATTGAGTGAGATTGAAAAGTGACCAGGAACTTTTTAATCATTGAGACAGCACTGTCCAGCACTAGAGCCACTGTCTATGAAGGAGTATTTAAATTCCTACTTGAAAATTTTACATTAAGTACTAGTAACATGATTCAGGGTGTAAAGTACTTGTTTGCAAGCATGGAGAACTGTCTTCAGAATCCCCTCAAAAATGGTTGTGGGACACCTTTGTAATTCCAGCAGGAGGAAAATAAAAATAGGGAAGAACCCCAGAACTCACTTAACCCCCCCCCCAACATAGTGAGTTACTCTGCAAGACATGGGCCAATAAAGAGACCTGTTCTCAAAAAGGTGGATGGCAGCCTGAGGATTGCCATCAGATGATTGGTGGTCTACACACACACACACACACACACACACACACACACAAATTACATTAAGCTAAAGTTAAGTTCCTATGCTCCAAGTCCATGGGTAGCTAGCTAACCTGGTAGCCACTCTATTGGACAGTGTCTGATTAGAACGTTTCCATCATCATAGGAAATTCTCCTCGAAATATTTTCTCAGCAATTGAATTCCTCATCCATCCTCTGAATGTTGGGATAAACATCTTAGTACTCCTCTGAGGGATCATGGGAAGTTGCAGTTCATAGAAGGAAGCAGAGTTAGTAAAGCAGTATCAAGAGTCAACCCCACCCCCCAGTTAAAATAGAAGAGCGCTTTGAAAAAGCATTCTTACAAAGTAGATCTCATCTCAGAAATTAATTTCCTCTCTGCTTTATCTGTTGGAACATAATTCATAATTTATGACTCAGATGTTGCTGGCAGGCCACAGGGAGAGATTGTGTGTATCCATTTTGTTTCCTGGACCTGACCAACATCAGTGTTTGTCGTCGGAGATCTTGAATTTGTGAAAAGCTCCATTTCTTTTGTAGTTTTACAATCGAGATCCAATATTGTAATTACCTTTAACAGCTGTTGCCTGCTCATGAATTTTTCTGTTTTGCTTGCTCTAACTCAAGGCTTTTCTGGAACAGTGTTTAAGGATCTGCAGTCCCTGTTTATAAATACTGATAGTTTATTTATAGAGTAAACACATATGGTGAACACAGTGGGCGTTTACATTGGCCATCACAAATTTCTGACATGCATATTTAAGTGGCAGGGGCAGATTATCCAGCTATCCACTGACCTCCAGGTCTATTCATTGGGTGGTTTTAGTTATCAAAGTTTATATGTTTCACCAAAGAATTTTTACTTCCATGAGCCATTCTACTATAAGTAATCCTTGCTAAAGGTAGGCTGTGTCTTAGTTTGCTGTTGTATTGTTCTGGTAAAGACTGTGTCCAAAAACATCTTGGGAATGAAAGGGTTTATTTCACCTCAGTTGCAGTCCACCATCAAGGGAAGGCAGAGCAGAAACTCAAGGCAGAAACTCAAGTTCGATGCTTGTTCCTTGTGGCTTATTCAACTTTCTTACAGCATCCAGGATCACCATTCATTAATCATGACAATGCCCCACAGATTTGCCTAGTGACCAACCAATGCTTATGGAAGTATTTTTGAAATGACGAGTCCTTCTTCCCAGTTGTGTCCAGGTTTAATCCAGGTTGACAAAACCCAGCCATCACAGGTTGTTAAAAGACCCATGAAGAACAGTGATAGAAAATAATGAGTACTGAAATGTTTAATGTTAATTGTCAACTAGATGGAACTTAGAATTAGGTAGGAACAGAGTCTCAATGAGGGACAATCTAGATCAGGTTGGCCTATGGGTTATGTAAGTAGTAGATTGTTTTGATTGCCTTACTTAATGTGGGAAGACCCAGACCACAGTGGGTAGCACCATTCCATTGGTTTGGTCCTTGGCCTTTCTGTGAGAGTCTAGCTGAGCACTGAGCTTGCATACATCCATTGTTCTTCACTATGGATGTGATATGACTAGACACTTCATGTTCCTTATTTGACTTCCCACAATAATGGGCTATAGCCTGGGATTATAGGCAGAATAAACTCATTCTCCCCTAAATTGCCTTTTGTCAGGATATTTTACAGCAGCAACAGAAATGAAACTAGAACACCTGCCGTCTAACACCTGTGTCATAGCCATACTCAGAGGATGGAGCTGAATTTGCAGTTGATCTATTCATTATTTCACTCACAACTTAGTTTTCTGATGTTGCTTTGGGGATTAAGTGAAAACAAGTACTCACCACAGAGATAAAAGAAAAACTGCCTGAGCTTGCTTTTCACCTACTGACACTTGGTAATTATTTGTTGAATAGGATAATGAGTAAGTGGTAAATCCATTCTGAGAGTTGGGAGGGTGATTTGCATAAACATAAGGGAACTTTGTGCTCTCTTCTTTTTTTTTTTGTTTTGAATTTTTCTCATTTTGTATGGATGCCTGGAGATCCTTTGTGGCTGTGCAGTCTGTCCAGGCTGTGTGAGATAGTCACAGGTAGAGCACAAGAAACTATGCACTTGGCTGCAAAAACTACAGATCCTACAGCTGCTCCCCATGGACTCTGGAGGAAGTCCTTTCTGTGGATATCAAATTGTTTTTTTTATACTTTAGAAAATTGTTAAGTGATTCTTAACCACATGAAGTAGCCACCTAAATAGCAATATAGAAAGGCGATGGTTAGATCTGTGGTGACTTAGGTAAATTTTAAGTAACATGAAAAGATATTTGTAAGCCATAGCAAATTTAAAAAATAAGGATGGATCAAAGAATTAGCTGACAGGTTCTAGAAATGTACAAATACAGCAGGGAAACCAGGCAAACTGGTGCCTGCCTTTAGTCACAGCAGTCAGGAGGCTGAGGCAGGAGAATCACTGACATCATGAAATCAGGGGCATTTTAGGCAACATACTGACACCCAGTGTCACAAGCAAAACAAAACTAAACAACATCACCCATGAACACAGCTATGTCCACTGTCAAGGCTGGTGAGTACTAACCTAATAATTAAAATGTCCAGCTTGGGAATGAACTACCTCTTGATTCCAGTTTGTGCAGTGATAACTCTGGGAGTAGAGGTGGCAGCGAATCAGGTTCAGGTGACCCTCTTCTATTCAGGTAAGAATTCAGACACAATTCTGAAGAACCAAAGAGCTAGCATAGAAAATAAAATCCCAAAGTTGTGTCAGGGGCTGGGATCTCAATGAATGCTGTCTAAATCTGTAAATAGCCAAAGCTAGAGGAGTCAGTAGTCACTGTTTCTTTTTGTAAGTCACACTGAATACCATCTACTTCATAACCACTGGCAGCTACAGTAGAACTCTCTGTCAGTTATCCTTCTTTTTTCTTACAAAGTAGCTTGGAAGCTCACCAATGATGAGTTATTTCAGTAACTTTGTTTGAGTGTAGAGTACATATCATGGTAATTATGGAATTCCAAACTAAATAATGTGGGGCTGGAAAGATGCCATAGCCTGACAACCTAGTTTTAATCCCTAGAACCCACATAGTAGAAAAGAGAATTGATTTTCCTAAGTTGTTCGCTGACTTCTCTATATTATATACTATTAACGGAGCTGCCTCCTAAAAGGTTTTAAAAATTAAATTCATATTATAATTTTATACAAAATATATTTATTATCCAGTAAACTACAGTGAGCATCAATGAATTATTTCTATAAAACAAATCCAAGTGTTTGCACCTCCTCTATGAAGGTAAATAGCACCAACAGGTTAAATCATATGAAGTATGGGTGTCTAACTATAACAAAATTATAGGCAATAGTGAATTATATTAAATGTAGTGGCTTCGCATGTGAACTGCTCTTCAAATGT